CCCTCACAGGTGACGTGCCTCCATGTGTCCATGGGTCAGACTCCTCCCAGCCTCACCCCATGGAACTTAGTTCAGGGCAGGCACCTGTCTCATTGCCATGGGCACAGGGGCCCAGTTCAGTGACCTGAGGATAGGACCTCTCATCAGCCGCCTTTGGGGTCCCCTGACCCCCAGAATATTTTTATCTGGTTGCTCAGCTTCACAAAGTGAAGGTAGTTTCCAATTGTCTCACAAAGAATGGCGAGGCTTTTGACATTTTCTCTTTTTTATTATAGTAAATAAGTTACATAAGATAGATTAGTTCCTTATGGCCTTCATACCAACACAGGTCAGACAGAGAATTTCATATTCCATTTTCCATTAGATCTTCTTCCCAGCAACTATCTTGGATATTATTTATTGTGTTTTCAAAGGTTTTAGTGGCAGACGACAGCATCCTCTTTAGCTTTTTTCTTTAAGAGAAAATGTATTATGAAAACGTACATTTTAGTTCCATGATTTTTTGGTAGAATGAAAGAAACAAACTCATGCCAGAGATTCCAGAAATGGTGTCCAGAGCCACACTGCAGAATTGGGCTGTGGAGAGAGCTGCCGCCTGTGCCATGGACAGAAAGAAAACTGCAAGGTCAGGGCTGGGCATAGTGGCTCATGCCCATTATCCCAGCACTTTGGAATGCTGAGGCAGATGGGTCCCCTGAAGTCAGGCGTTTGAGACTAGCCTGACTAACATGGTAAAACCCTGCCTCTACTAAAAATACAAAAATTAGCCAGGTGTGGTGGCGGGCACCTGTAATCCCAGCTATTCAGGAGACTGAGGCAGGAGAATTGCTTGAACCCAGGAGGCAGAGGTTACAGTAAGCTGAGATCGCATCATTGCACTCCAGCCTGGGCAGCAGAGTGAGGTCAGGAGCTGCTGGTTGTGACCATACCATTGCTGCCAGCCTTCCTTGCCCAAAACATGGCCTGCAGCTTGCCTCCACCCCCACGTAACTCAGTCTCAATAAAAGTTCTGTGTGTGTGAAATGACCTGTGGGAACTCAGCTGAAATGTGTCTGAAAAATGTAGTTTTGAACTTTTCATCCCCTGCAGTACAGGAAGGCATCCTAGGTCAGGGGCATAATGGGCGTTGGATGAGCCTGTTTAGGGAATGTGCCAGTTTGCCCTCAGAGATCTGCCTGAGCTTGCTTTGATCCCTGGCCAGGGCTTGACACAATGAAGCCTCCCTATGCTTCTGAAAATGTCCAACTTTACTGTCTCGTAGTCCCCCACTTTCTTTCCCTCCCAGTCTAACCCTTCACACATGCACCCACACCTGCTGTCTTGGCTCTGTTCTGCCCTGGTTTCCAAAAAAAAAAAAAACCCCGTGGCTCCAAGAAGGTGCTTGGTTATTGACTTCCCTACAGCTCTGGGTCTATCTCAGGGAGGCATCAGATCTCATTGGCCATAGACAGGCTTCCCCTCTTTGCTGTCACTTTCATATCTGCCTTCTTCCACAGCCCGAGTCCTGACACAGGACCACCCTCCTGCCTGTGATGCCCTCTGGGCTGGGTGACTCAGTGACCCTTCCTCTAATTAGTTCTCTGAGGGAGTAGCCCAGCCAGGCTTGGTCCCCATCACCCTGAGACCCTGAGGGTAAGCGCAGATGAGCTGCCCAGATTTTGATTCCACATAAGGAGTTTCTAACTCTAGAACTCGTGGAGTGCCTTTTGCAGTAACTTCCCCATTACCAGGTAGGGTAGTGAGAATCAAACCAGTCTTGAATATCTTCTCTTCTGGGAATCTTGGAGCAGTTCTAGGTGAGAGCACAGAGTGCACTCGAGGTGACGTGCTTGGGGCCACACAGTGGGATGGGAGAGTGGCTGAGATGTCAGCGATGAGTCCCGAGCTTGTGGTCAGGAGTCCAGATCCTGTGCCTTGATTAGCTGTGTGACCTTTCACAGGTTCATAACTCCTCTGGGGTTTGGGTTTCACATCCGTTAAATGGATTTAATACCCAGAAACCTACCTGGAGGTGGTCATGGGGTCAGGCCTGCGGCTCCAGCCTTGGGGGTGTTCTGCCTGTGCAGCCACAGGGGTAGACCAGGTGGGGAGAAGGAGGCGGTGCCTCGGGGTCAGGAAGATGATACTGTTCCCCCCCCAGGGTCATGGAAGGGGAACTCACAGATGTTGTGGTGTATCTAGGTCTGGAGAGAAGAGGCTCAGCGAGGTAGAGAGTTTAAGGCAGCTGAGGCTGTGGCAGAGGGAGTGTGCAGCTCTCTGCCCTGCAGGAGCAGGGCTGGGAGGAACTTACAGGGAAAGTCATGGTTCACTCCAGTCATGGCTTAATGGCTTTCTGTAGACTGTCAGCTTCTGTGGGGGTCTGTCCTTACCCTGAGTGTATAGAAAGGTGACTAGCACTAGTGGGAACTGAGAAACCATATGGCCACCAGCAAAACGTAAATGCCAGTATTTGCACTGGGGATGCGGGGAGTTTGCACTATCCATGAGAACTTTGTTCTTTTGCCCATAGCTTCTTACTTAGGCAACTGACAGTTGAAGTTTTTGGAAAATCAAAAAAGAAATCTGGCTGGGCATGGTGGCTCATGCCTGTGATCCCAGCACTTTGGAAGGCCCAGAAAGGTGAATTGCTTGAGCTCAGGAGTTCAAGACCAGCCTGGGCCACATGGCAAAACCCCGTCTCTACAGAGATTAGCTGGGAGTGGTGGTGCCTCCGTTACTTGGTGGGGCTGAGAGGGGAGGATCGATGGGCCCAGGAGGTTGAGGCTGCAGTGAGCCAAGGTTGCGCTGCTGCACTCCAGCCTGGGTGACAAAGTGAGACCCTGTCTCAAAAAAATAAAAAAAAGAAATTTAATTTATTAAATAAGGCAGGGACAAAGGAAAGCCACTGAACTCAGGAGGAGCATAGCCCAGCCTTGCTGTAAGAGGGTGGCTTCTGTGCCTGATCATAAGCTGACACTGGTGACCAGGGCCCCCTGGGCAGAGCTGTGAACCCAGGGAAGCAGGTAAGCATCAGGGGAGGGTGTGGGAGAGAACACCAAGCTGGCTGTGCCTGCAGGGATGGGGCAGTCTAACACACTGCCAGGAACATCACAGAGTGAGGTTGTACTTTTACTTCTTCTGCAATTACTTATCGAGTGTGTGGGGTACTGTAGGGACTGGGAGGGGATGAAAGAGCTGAATGGCTTTTTTCTAGACTGGTGGCTGTCTCCCCAATAGTAACTTCCTAGCCCCACCCTTAAAATGGGGAAGGACTCCTGTGCTCAAACTTGTCCTCCCCTCTTGCCTTTATTTCTTCCTATGTTTCTTCTGCAGCTGAACAAGCAGCAGGCAGCCTGCCATGGGGCTCTGCTCTGGGGACCAGTCCCTCTGCTGGGACTCAGGGCTCCTGGGATTCACTGGTCTCCTCCTCAGTGAGTGCAGGTTCCTGGGAAGGGAGGGCAATTGGGTAAGGCTGGGCTAGCTGGGCCTGACCACTGGGTGGGCTGTTCAGGTTCCGATGTCTTTGGGCAACAAAAAGAGAAAACCACTCTGGTATGATTTACAAATGCAGCATATTTGGTTGGAACCCCAGGATGGAAATAACAAAAAGTCCTTTTGGTGGTGAGGGGGCTGGGAACCCCGAGCTAGGGCAGTCTTGGCGGTATTGAGGGAACCTTTACCAGGGAGGTGGGGCTGCTTCTGCTGCATTAGCAGGGCGGCCTGATGCTGCCTGGAAAGAGGGATGGAGACAGACAAACTACCTGTCTCCTGGGGAGGAGAGGGTGGCAACAATACACTCCTAGCCAGGAACTCAGAGGTGCCCTGACAGTCTGTAGCTGTCCTGTGGAGGAGGGGCAGAACTGGAACCCTGGTGTCTGAGCTGGAAGAAACTCCTCTGTCCTCGGCTTCTCCACTGAAAAAGGAGAGTGAATATGAACTCCCTTGCCTGGGCTTGGGGCTCGGAGGTCATCACAAAGGAGAGGACACTTGGAGGTCTCAGGTTTATCTTAAAATTGTTTGTATAATTTGCAATAGTCTTCTTTTCTTTTCTTTTTTTTTTTTGAGATGGAGTCTTGCTCTTTCACCAGGCTGAAGTACAAGTGGCATGATCTTGGCTCACTGCAACCTCTGCCTCCTGGGTTCAAGCAATTCTCCTGCCTCAGCCTCCTGAGTAGCTGGAGCTACAGGCGCCCGCCACCGCACCCAGCTAATATTTTTTTGTATTTTTAGTAGAGACGGGGTTTCACCATGTTGGCCAGGATAGTCTCGATCTCCTGACCTTGTGATCCGCCCACCTCAGCCTCCCAAAGTGCTGGGATTATAGGCGTGAGCCACCGCCCCTGGCCAAATAGTTTTCATTTAAAATATTAACCAGCATTTATCTTTGCCTAAAATGAATACCACAGGAGGATCCCTTTATCATCCCTGACAGTTGCCTTTCCCTCCACCCTGAAATGCTGCTCACGTCCTGAAGGCTGCAGGTGAAACCATGTTTATCACACACTGTTGTAAGGAAAAACCCTGGAAAAAAGAGGAGGTGCCCATCAATTCAAGAATGATTGACCTAACTGAGCAGTATCTGTGCCGTGGAATATTATGGAGGCTTACAAAAAGAAATAGTCCAGTTTCCTGGAAGGAGTTTTAAATTTTTATGAAGTATGAGGTATGAAATCCTAGCAGCAAGTTCAGGAAATGAAACACAATGAAATCCTTACTTTATGAAAGGAAAAGCAGCTTCCAAAATTTAAGGGTTTACGTCTTTACAGTCACATGTTTTTGAGACTATATTGGCAATGTGGAAGGAATCAGATTGCTAACATGGGCTACAACAGAGCATGAATTTGGGCAGGAAAAATGGAGGGAGAGAAAGCAGAGAACACAGGGAATTAAGCAAGAACGGAAACTGAAAGAAAGACTGTCCTAGTATAGGCTGTATACCACATTCATGACTCTATGAAAGGTTATATGTTTGTGTGTACAATTAAATTAGGTCAAAATTAATGACAAAATAAGACATAGTGAAGATGAATTTTGGTGACAGTTTTATGGTTATAATTTTTTCGTTTTAATATTCCAGCCAATAGTTGAACTTGCAGGGAGTTACATGAAGTGGAGCAGATTAGAGAGCATTTGTAAAACAGGATGTCTTGAAAGAACAATGTGCTTAGAAATAGGGTTTACGTCCTTTTTACATAGGTAACCTTCTGTAGTCAGCGAAATGTAGGCGTTCTCCACTTCTACAATGTTATTTATCTGGAAATATGTTCAGTTGTTTAGAGTTTTCCTTATAGGCATGGGGGTTGGAAGATTCCTAAAGAAACAAAGAAAAATAAAGAAAGAATGGGAGGAAGGAAGGGAGGGAGAGAAAGAAGGAAAGGACTTAGAATTTCTCATTTTAGGGGTAGGAGATCGTGTCGAGACAAAGAAAGTGATTCTCTCAGGGAATTACTGGGAAAGAATGAAATTGGTTGTTCCAGTGGGGTGATACTGAATGAGACAAGACCCCTGGCAGTAGAATTTGGCCAGAGGCTGTCCGTAGAAGGAACGTCATTGTGAAATTGCTCTGCGTCCTTCCAGGAATCCTGAAGCTCCATAATTGGATGCATTTTTCCTTCGGTTTCTGGATAGTCCCTGTTCCAGTTCACTCTTGACCCAGGGAGAGGGATGGGTGGTGAAGCAGTGAGGATGCAGGCGGAAATGAGGAATTTGTCCTCCTCATTCTTAAACTCTTACACCCTTCCAGGACATGTGTTTGGATGGGGAAGTGTGGAAGGGAAGGAGGGAGTCTGAGGGTGGCTCAGCTCCAGATAATTTCCCAGAGACACAGGAAGCTACAGGTGAGGGTGGTCCTTGACTTCTGGGGACCCCTTGACCATAACAATAACAAGATTTACTGAATGCCCACGCGGTGTCTGCCAGCAGGGAGCTGGAGGAGAAGCATCTCTGCATTAGGGGCTCCAGACAGAGACATGAGACTGTGGAGATGGCACCAAGAAGTGCAGTTTGGGCATCAAACATGAATTGTTGGTTTGTGAGTGTGCTGATGGGGGCTACGTCAGACAAATGGCAGGGCCTCACTTTGTCTCCCAGGCTGGAGTGCAGTGGTGTGATCTTGGCTCACTGCAGCCTTGACCTCCTGGGCTCAAGTGATCCTCCGGCCTCAGCCCCTCAAGTAGCTGGGACTACAGGTGTGCACTATCATGCCTGGATAAAAATGAGCAATCTTTTATGCTGATGATAGGATTTAAAATTTTATACAGTTTAAATGAATGTTTCGCTCCACCTTGTAAATGACCACCTGCTTCCTGGCTTGTGTTTTCTTCTTCAGGATTAGCATTTCTGTAGATCAGAGAGCTCCTGCTGCCTTCCTTCCCTCTCTGAATCTTCATCTTCCTCCCAGCTGTGCTCTTCATCCACCTTCTGGGGCAGATCCTCCCTGGCAGCCTGAGGGCCGAGCCTCCACTCTTCCCAGTTCCCTCGTCCAGGAAGTGGGGTCTGTCCAGGCTGCCTGTTTAACCCTCTGCTATCCAGAAGTCTCTGCTCTTCTCAGCCACTGAAAGTACCTGCTTCCCCTTTTCAGGAGAGGGCAGTTGGGGTGGAGACCCCGGCAGCTGCTCAGGTCCTGGTGGGCTCAGATGACAGTGCAGCTGAGCTCTGGGGAGGGCAGGGGAGGGTGGAAGAGCTCATGGGCAGCGTCCTGCAGGGCAGGCCCTGGGCTGGGGGAGAAAGTGGGCTCCAGGTGTGGCTCTGCCCTGTGTGGCTCAGGACAGGTCTACCCGCTAGAGAGCCCCTACTCTGTAATAAAAGCAGGAGCTTGGACAGATCATCCCCGAGTCCCCTCTCAGCAGTGAGGCTCTGGGATTTGGTGACTCTGGTGGCTCTATCAAGGTCTCTGCTCTGTCTCCCCATCCTGTCCTGTCCCATCCTGTGGCCTGACAGGCACTGACACTCAGTGAGCCCGTTTCAGGCTTCTTCAGAGAGAAGACCCTGGGTGTCCCTGTGGCCACTTCCTCAGCCCTCAAGGGAGGAAGGGACTCCTCCTCTCTCAGCCCCCTCCACCTGAGCCTCTGCTTTCTCTGCCTCTGCTCCTGAGAGGGGTCTTGGGGGTCATCACTCACTCACTCAGGCCTGCTGCAGCTGTGGCATTTAGAAGCCACTAATACAACATCAGCCAGACCTTTTCAGTTTCTGACTGCTCAGCAGAAAACACTAATTTCTTTTTCACTGGTTCCAGGCAATGCTGCAAGAAGTAAGACACTGTTTTGGCCAGAATTATTCCTGAAAATCTCTTAGGAAAGTGCCATACAGGAGACTGGAGTGTTCTCTCCCAGCAGGTCTAATGAATGGTCACATTTCTCCCGGTGGAAAAAATGGCTGTTTCTTCGAGCTTCAGATTAAATAGAACACTTATGATGATTATGATTATTATTTTTGAGATGGAGTCTTGCTTGCTGCCCAGGCTGGAGTGCAGTGGCACTATTTTGGCTCACTGCAACCTCCGCCTCCCCCGTTCAAGTGATTCTCCTGCCTCAGCCTCCCGAGTAGCTGGGATGACGGGCGCCCATCACCATGCCTGGCTAATTTTTGTGTTTTTAGTAGAGATAGGGTTTCACCATGTTGGCCAGCCTGGTCTTGAACTCCTGACCTCAGGAAATCCACCTGCCTCAGCCCTGAGCCACCATGTCTGGCCAGAACACTTACGTTTATTGTCCATTTTTATACCAAAATTGTACAAAATACTTAAACATTACACTCCACAAGAACCAGGACTTGATCTCAGAATTGCTTCAGCTTTGTTGTACTAGCTTTATTCCTAAAATCAAGGGAGTATACTGGATAAATTTGTTAAAACGAAAAGTTCTGTGGTTCTCTCATTTGTTCTTGATGAGGAAATATATTTCCTGTTTCCATGCCCTAGGTGTCTGCAGCACAGCAGCCAACACTTCTGGAGCACATGGCTCTGCAGTGAAGGATTCTGGAGCCCCCATTCATCTGAAGGGGATCCAAGGAGGTTCTGTCTTGTCGAATGTGATTGAGAAGTCCAGAGTGGATGTAGGCGCCGAGCTGGAGGAGGTTGTATGGACTCTGGGCACGCTGTCAAATCATACACGGGTGCTGTGAGTCCACAGTGGGGCCAACTCTCCAACCTGGGTTGGCCTTGAGGACAAGTTCAAGCAGAGGGTCCATGTGCCCAGCATGTTGTCTCTGAGGATTGAGAACCTGGCCCCTGAAGACAGTGGGCAGTACATGGCCATGATCTACTTAACTGGGGGACGATTATCTGGCCAGGTTTTCTACCTCACTGTCTATGGTGAGTGACACCCCTCCCTCCCCCATCCTCTGGCTTACCTGCTTTTTTTGTCCCTAGAGTGTCACATAGGTCCCATGCAGGGTTCTATTCAGACACCGGCCTTCAGACTCCATTTTATCCACTAAAAATAAAGCACATGAGGTCCTCAGAGATAGAGCAGAGCTGAGATTCACACCAGAAAGAAAATCTCTTCAGTGTCTTGGGAGAGGAAATGGAAATTCAGCAAAATAGCAATTTTTCCAGTATTAATCATCCTATATATGATTAACATTAATTTGTGTAGTAGTTTTTTATCGCTGATGTAACAAACTACCAAAAATTATTGGCTGAAAGCAACACAAATTTATATCTCGCCGTGCTGTAGGCTAGAGATGTGACACAAGTCTCCATGAGCTAAAGTGAAGGTGGTGGCGAGCTGCGTTCTTTCCCGGGGCTCCAGGAAGAAGCCATTTTCTTGTGTTTTTCACCTACTAGTGGCTGCTGGCATCCCACGGCTCATGGCCGTCTTCCTGTATCTCCTAATAGAACACTGATGTTAGTATCTGGGAATTCAGAATCATCTCCCTATTTGAAGGTCAGCTGATTAGCAACCTTAATTCTATCTGGGACCTTCATTCCCCTTACCTCGCAGCTAACTCACTCCCAGGTTACCAGGATGGTTCTTGGACATTTTGGAGGCCACTATTCTGCCTACCACAGTTGGGAATCCCTGTGAATGGAGTCCTCCCAGTCCTCTCTTCTCTCACTCAGCCCCAGCCCAGGGCCAGCCTCAGTCACACGAGCCGCCACAAATCTAGCTCTCAAAGCCTCCATAGTGTAAGAGGAAGTTTACACTGCAACACTTCTTAGGAAACTAATTTAGCCAACTCTTTCTTTCCCTAAGGTTCCTCTCTGCATGGGGGAATATCCTGCCATGGAGAGAGTGGCTTCACAGTTTTAGGTCCCATGTGATTTCTCAGGCTGGCCTGTGAATCAGATTCTTCTCTGCTGTCTGCACCACAGGTTCAGTAGCATGTTCTTTTGTTGTTGTTGTTATTGGTTTTGGGACAGGGCCTCACTTTGTCACCCAGGCTGGAAGACCGGAACACAGTGGCATAAACACAGCACATTGCAGCTTCAACTTTCTGGCTCAAGCGATCATACCACCTCTGCCCCCACAAGTAGCTGGGATTACAGGTGAGCGCCACCACATCCCGCTCATTTTTGTATTTTTTCTAGAGACAGGGTTTCACCATGTTGTCCAGCTTGTCTCAAACTCCTAAGCTCGAGCAATCTGCCCGCCACGGCCTCCCAAAGTGCTGGGATTACAGGTGTGAGCCACAGCTCCCAGACCAAGTGGCACCTTCTAACCACATTCAGAGTCATTGTTTCCAGTTGTGACCACCGCAGCTCCCACAGACATGTCCACTTTTGGGAGCATGGGCCTTTCTCTGGCCTCCCAGAGCTGACCTGATGTCCTGTCCCTCAAGGGTTGTGCGGTACCCAGCTTGGCCTCAGCTGGGGATGGAGGTGAAGGAACCTGGGCTAGAATAAGCCCTTATATCCCAGACTTTTTCTTCTCTGGAAAGACCCTAATTAAAAAAAAAAAATGTCCCTGGGAGGGTGGAGTCCAATTGTTATTTTCTTTGGGACAGTTTTAAGACTTACTCAATCTAGGGGACCAACATGGAGCTGAACTCAGTGGCTTCCCTTATCATTTGCTCAGTATTTGACCTTGAGCAAATTGTGTTTTATCTGTAGAATACACCCACACCCACTTTTCCTATAGGGAGCATGCCATGGCTTTAATGAGAAAATGATAAGAAAGTGTGATGTGCAATGTTCTCCACAAATGTGAGGTTTCTTTCTTCTATCTCTTTTTTTCCCCGGAGCCTGTGCCTCATCCTGAGATCCTGGCCAATTCGCTGTCTATCACACCAGGCTTGCGTAACATCACCCTGGAGTGTACGGCTCCAGGAACCACAGAGGACCTGAATGTGACTTAGGAGAACAAGGGCCTCCTCGGAGAGCTGGAGCAGAGAGAAACACCAGGACCAGCCCCCGACTCCTGGACCCTGGCTGTGAACCTGCCCCTGAGCCAGAGGAACAGCAGTCTCACCTGTGTGGTCAGCAACCAGGTGGATCAGAGAGATGTAACCTTACCTTGGGGAAGCCTGTGTCAAGGTGAGGGGTGAGTGTAGCCTGCAGGATAGGAGGGGCTTCCCGAGCTCAGGCAGCACTGGGGTTTAATGGTTCCGGGCTCTATTCTCCACCATGTGCATTAGCACCACCTTCCCCCTGCTCACCACACATAGCAGTGTGGGAGTCACATCCACCTTGCTTCTGCCCTTAACCATCTCTCCCACCGATGCCCTCCTCCCCACAACCCCACCATGTCCTTGTTGGTAAAGACAGCAGGCTTCCAGGAGCTCTCCCACCCCATCCATCCTCCACTGGGCATCCAGAATGGGCTTTGGGAAAAGCAGGACGGCTTGTGCCGTTGTCTGTGTCATCTGTGAGAACCTGATTCCAGCCACTGTCTGTATGATTCAGAGCTTAGATGCACCTCTGTCCACATTGCTAGCCTCATCTGCTCTCTTCACACCAAACTGCTTGCCATAGTTCCTTGAATGCGTCCTGCCATTGTAAGCTTCTGAGCGTCTGCACATGCTGGCTTTTCTGTATCAGCAAGTCCTATGTCCTTCACTTCTTCTTCATGGGGTGAAGACCATGTAAAGGCTGCATGTTTGGTTTACAATTTTCTTAATAAGTTTGAACAAGGGCTTCCTATTTTCATTCTGCATAGGGCCTTTTCAGTTATGTATCTGGTCCTGCATGTAGGCAGCAATCCTTTAGGGAATGTCCATGGCACCCCACACTGAGTAGTAGCAGTGGGGTTATGTCTTTGCTCTGTAGACTGCAATGTCCTCAGGCAGAGGCCACCATCGTGTTTTCCTTTGAATCCGTGTGCCAAGTACAGCTTCTGGCAAAGTTTGCTCACAACTGGTGTTCATTGGATGAATGAATGACTTGGTACCCTGGTGCAGCCACAGCCTCTCTAACCTTTCCTCCAGGAGCTGCTGGAGAACTCTGATGTGTCAGCATCCCTTTAAACCACCCGTTACCTTCTCCCCTGTCCTCCATCCTGGAGTGTTCAGCACTTAGCATGACCACAAGGCCCTCTGGGCACAGACTCCTGCCTCCCTCTGACTCTCCTTGCCATGGCTCCTCCCTGCCCTGTTCCTTTCCTGCTGCAGTGGGGTGCGGGCAACTCCCAGGGCTGGTGTTTTGACATGGCAGTTTCCTAAATGTGGTGCTCCTCCTTCCTGGAATGCCCCACCCTGAAGATCTGAGAAACTCCTACTCCTGCCTCAAGCTTCAGTTTAGCCAGCACCTCCTCTGGGAGGCCCTCCCTGAAGACCTTGTACAAGGTGTAAACCTCTATTGCAGCTGTGATCCCTCTGTCTGGCAGTTGGTATTTTCTATCTTCCCTCCTGTGTGCTGGGCTGCTGTGGACATTATCTTGTGCATCTCAGCATTCCTGGCACCAAGCATCAGCTCCTAACCAGTTGAATGAATGGACTTGCCATACTCCTCCCTCTGCAGTTTCTGCATTAGGCTCCTTCCCACTGCTCCACCTGCTTTCTCCCTCTGTCTCCTCTTGGCGATGGGTATGTCAAGTTATTTCCTGCCTTAGCTTTTTTCACTCTCTATGTGGGGGAACAGGTTCAAATGTACTGGACATGGCTCTCCTTCTGTGAGATATCCTTGGAGTTATTGCATTTGTGCTGTTGATCCTGGGAGCTGAGCTGTACCTCTGGAAGAAACATGGGAAGAAGAAGAAGAAAGATGAGGAAGAAGAAGAGGAGGAGGAGCAGAAGGAGGAGGAGGAGGGGGAAGAGACAGGAATAGGCTGGTTGTACTTCTCTGTCAAGGCTCAGATATCTCCCCTCCCCCACTAGTATCTGGGTTCTCTTTCTCCTGAAAGAATGTCATTGTTTAGCTATATGAGTAATCCCAGATGCATCATCGAGTTACCATGTCCAAGATATTTGTTATTGGAAAAAACTGAAAAGCAGTGCATAGTATGATTTAATTTTTGTAAAAGCTTATAGATAGGTAGATAGATAAGCACAGAATAAAATCTATACTACAAGACAGATTACCAACAGTGGCTCACACAGAGGTGAGAAATTCCTCAAGGTTTGCTTCTTTTTAGTTTATATAATGTAATATTTTATGTTATTTGAATCTTTTACAATGCTCAGTCAGTGTGAAGTCAAAGGAAACAATTAAGACAATTTTGTAGCTTAATTCCATTTAGCTAATTAATCCCCATCTCTGTGGATGCACCTCATCTTCTCTGCTGACTGTGACATGGGGTAAAGACCAAACTCCATTCCACCCCATGCAGACACCATACACCTTTCCAGTTGCCATGAACAAATGAGAACAAACTCATGTAAAACAAAGTGATTCGTTCTTTATACACATCTGGGAGGGAAAACAGTTCCAGCAAAGGCCATCTCTCAGGATGAGGGCAAGGGTAGGATTTCCTATAGGAAAGCAACACAGTTTCAGGAGGAAAAGCAAATTAGTGAAATCAGTGCCTGACTTGTCAGAGCGTTGGTTGTCTGACACTCAGCTTTAGGCATGGCGGAGCCCCAAGCACATTTGTGAAGTTTGGACAGTTGTGTTCCCTTTCTCCATCAAGCTGTTGCTGTTGTCATTGTTTTTATTCCCACCAATGTCTGGAGCCCCAGGCTCCGTGGTTCCTTCTTGGGGCCCTGACTGCTTTACCCTTACCCTCCAGATTCAATCTTCAGCAGCAGGCAAGTCCTCAGGCTGCAGCTCAGGGCTCAGGGGAAATTTCCTTCCTCAGCCCATGCCCAGGAGCCTGCACCCACCCTGTACCTTTTCCCCGTGATAGCCCTTTCTGGAAAACCTTTCCCCCTACCTCCACTTTGGAATTAGGGTGCAATAAGACCACATACTTGCCACAAAAGGTATATAGTTTAATTGTACATATGAAGCAGTTTTTCCTTCCTTATTTTATTTGCATTGTGCAGTAGTTGTACATTTTTAAGAAGGAAAAATGGTGCAAAACAGCAATCCCTTGCCCTCCCTTCTCTACATCTAGACTGACTCTCCAATGACAGTCACTTTCAACTATGGCCTTTACCTCCAAGTTTCTCAATAATGTACTGATGTTACTGTCTTCAGTTCAATTTTAGGCATTAACTATTGACTTTTCATAACGATAAATGAGGATTTTCCTGTCTCACATGTCTTCCCTCCTTTACCCTCCATCCAACTACTATAGATATGTGACAGTTTTGGTTTAAATCAATAGTATTTATAGTCTACAATTCTACAAACAGCTAAAATTATTTAGCATTTTTATTATGAGCCAGACATCATTCTAAGGTGCTTACATCCAATTACTAATTTAACATGCCACCATCTCTATCATATACTATAATTATCTCCATTTTACAGATGAGGAAATTGAAACATCTCTTGGTAATTTGTGCAGCATCCTGAATCTAGGAAGTGGCACAGTTAGGATTAGAAGCCAGGTAGTCCAGCTCCAGCATCCACGCTTTCAACTACTAGGCAGTCCCCAAACTGAAGCCTGTTGTCGGGAGCTTACTATTGTTCTTGCTGCTAGGGATACAGAAGTGAACGGGACAAATACCCAGCTCTCATGGAGCTTGCGTTTCAGGAGGACACTGGAAATGAACAAATGCCCAAGTAGGAAGAGAAGGTCAGGTGGTGCCAGTGGGTGGAGTGAAGCAAGCAGAGGGAGACAGGAGGGCAGCTCTTTTCCATGGATACTCAGGGAAAGCCTCTTTGGAGGGGGAGCGTTTTAGGCCTGAACTGAGTGTGAGAACCATTTCAGTGAGCAGGAAGAGCCTTCCAGGCAGAGGAAAGGGCATGCGCAGACGCCTTCAGCTGAGGCTGGGCTGAAGTGCTGCAGAAACAGTCACAAGGCCCCCACGGCTGCAGTCAGTGATGAAGGGGACCTTGAAATGAGGTGGGAGAGTGGCCTGGGTCTTCCCGTATTAGGGTCAGGGAACTGAGATAGCTGAGGTGGGAGAGCGGCCTGGGCCTGACTGTGGCGGGGTCTGGGAACAGGGAGAGCTGAGGTGGGAGAGTGGCCTGGGGTCATATCTTGTTGGTCCTGGAAAGCCAAGGTAAGGACATAGATTTTTTTTTTTTTTTGAAATGGAGCCTCTACCTGTCACCCAGGCTGGAGTGCAGTGGTTCAATCTCAGCTCACTACAAGCTCCGCCTCCTGGGTTCAAGCAATTCTCCTGCCTCAGCCTCCCTAGTACCTGGGACTACAGGCGCGTGCCACTGCACCTGGCTAATTTTTGTATTTTTAGTTGAGACGGGGTTTCACCATGTTGGCCAGGCTGGTCTTGAACTCCTGACCTCGTGATCTGCCCTCCTCCACCTCCCAAAGTGCTGGGATTACAGGTGTGAGCTGCTGTGCCTGGCCAAGGACATGGATTTTATTCTCAGTGGGATGGAGGTGTTGACAGAGGATTGTGAGCAGCAGAGGAGGATAGTGTGACATTGATTTGAAGGACCACACTTTCGGCGTGTGTTGAACCCACTGCTTGGCATCCAGGCTGGAGCCAGGGAGGCAGCTGAGGATGCCCAGCAGGAATCCAGGATGAGACACTGGTGGCTTGGCCTAGAGTGGAAGTGGTGAGTGGTGGGCTAATTCATGACACATTCTGGAGAGTAGACAGGATTTGCTGTCTGGTTGGATGTGGAGTATGAGAGGACGAGGAGTCCAGGGCGACCCCAAGGATTGTGGCCTGAGTGCTGGGGGGATGACGGTGCTGCTTACCGAGATGGGGAGTGCTGGGGAAGGAGCAGGTTGGAGTGAGACTTGGAGATGCACCGAGGCCTCCAGGGAGACAGTGCAGGCATGTGGGCATATGAGTGTGGGCTCAGGGGAAGGTCAGCACAGGCAGGGCAGTCCTGAGAGCAGGGCCCGGGTGCTGGAATGGTTAGAGGGTGGGAAGAGAAGACTGAGAAGGAGCAATCAGTGACACAGGAGGAAAGTCAGGTGAGTCTGGCATCCAGGGAGCCAAGTAAAGAGAGTTTTTGTTGAGGAATGGAGTGACGCATTGTGCCTGAGCTTGCTGAGAGTCCAGCAGGGTGATGTCCGAGAGCAGCCCGCTGGAGTCAGCTAGGGGAGCTCATGGGGACCTCCCAATGGCCAGCAAACTCTGTAGCCTCAGCGTCATTCTCTTTCCTCAGAGAGGACGTCCCTGATCCTTATGCCTCCTCCTCTGCCAATATCTGCACTTTCCCCTCTCTGTATTTCTCATGATAGACAGAAATTTTGGCATTTCCTTGTTTAATGCCTCTCCTCCACTTGATCGCACATGGCATGGGCAGGAGCACGCATGCTGCACTCATCCCAGTCCCCAGTACCTAGAGCTGTGCTTGGCACACAGGCCATGCTCAGTGAATATCTCAGGAATGGATGTGGAGTCAGCCCCCATGAACCGGGACTCCAAACAGAGCCCAATCACTTTTCAGTTCTGCTTTCATAGAGTCAGCAGTGGGAGCAGTGTTTTTGTTTGGGACCTAACATTTCTCACACACAGACCTGGCCAGCCTCTGCGGAAATGATGTCTGGACATGCCTGAGTGTCTGATAGGAGCTGTGGTAACAAGAACGAACATGAGCTCAGGAGTGGCAGCACTTTAAATAAAATCAACTTTGTATTTTATAAAAGTTTTTCATTTACAGAAACACTGGGCAGATAGTACAGAGTCCCACAGACTCCACACCTAGTTTCACCTTTTATCAACATCTTATCCATTACAATTAATGAACTGATAAGGATACATTCTTATGAACTCAAGTCCATACTTTCTTCAGACGTCCTTAGTTTTTGCCTGATGTCCTTTTCTGTTCCAAGATCCCACCCTACACACCTCCTTAGGCTCCTCTAGGCTGTGACAGCTACTCAGACTTTCCTTGTTTTCGTTGACATTCGTGAGGGGTACTGGTCAGGTGTTTCGAAGAATGTTCCTCAACTGGGATTTGCCTGATGTTTCTCTCATGATGAGACTTGGATTTTGGGTTTTGGGGAGCAGGATGACAGAGGTAAAGTGCCATTTTCATCCCGTCATTTGAGGGCGCATGCTCTCATTGTGACATCACTATTGATGCTGACCTCGACTATCTTGACAAAGGTAAAGCTTGCCAAGTTTCATCCATTGTAAAGTGACTCCTTTTTCCCCTCTTCCATACTGTTCTCTTTGAAAAGAAGTCACTGTGTGCAGCCCAGACTTAAAGATTGGGGAGTTAAACTTTACCTCCTCAAGAGTGGAATGTTTTCACACATTACTTGGAATTTTCTGCACGGAATTTTTCTCCATTTACTGGTTTCCCATGTATTTATTTATTCATCAATCATTCTCCTTTTTTTCATTTCTTTTTTCAATCAATCATTTATTTGTATCAGTATAAACTCATTGATATATATTTTGCACTTTGGGCTATAATCCAAAGCCACTAAATTTATTTTGTAGCTCAAATTGTTCCAGTTTGGCCATTTGGTGCCGTGTTCTTTTGACAGCCTCATCACTGTGTGCCTTTTTTTTTGAGCACTTTCTTACTTGGACTCTCCAAGATGCTCCAGGCCCATCTTGTATACTTCCTGCTTCAGTTCTAGAAGCAGCCATTTCTCCCAGGAGCTCTAGTTTGGTTTACTGCAGAATTGCTTTAGAAACCAAGATCTATACAAGAGGTGCCCTTGTTTTCAAGCATTAGGAACCCAGAGAGTGATTTCCCATCTACAGACACAGATGCCACCTAAGTCCATAAGGTCTTATCATTTGCCTGCTTTGTTAGACATGAACAGACTTCAAGGTCACAGATGGATCAGAAATTCATCACAAACATCTTTAGAAGGGAATGAAGGTAGTTAAAATAAGTCTGCTAAAGGAAATGTCATCTGGGCCCGCAAAATATGAGCAAGCTGAAATATTGGCAAGGAAAACATAGGGAGAGTTTGTTGTTTGCTACTGGACAAGCTCAGTAATAGTTGTCCTAGCACAGATGTTATTGTAAAGGTCCATTGATAAAAACAATCCAGATTGTATTGCAAGTGTAGGACAAGAACACGTGCTTTGGGGCCAGATTGATTTGGATTTGAATCCTTTCTGTTATTTGTCTGCCTGGAAGCTTGGATAAGTCACTTTGCTTCTCTAAGTCTCACTTTCTCATCTGTAAAATGGATATGCTGATCATGCCTACCTAATAGAGTTGTTTGAGGATTCATGAGATGCATATCAAGTGTGTAGCCTCAGCCCCTGGCACATAATAAGTGCTTAATAAATGTCATTTGCCTGAAATATGCCAGGGAGCACCTGCCCAGGAAACACCTATAGCAGATCTGAGGGCCACAAGGCCTATTGGACACCTACACATATTATGTTAGAAGAGTAGATTTTGGCTTTTGGTGGTGACTGCTTTAGGAGATGGGTCAAAACTAATTTAAGCCCAAATATAGGAACACCCAAATATAGGCAGAGCAATTAGCAGTAGATAACTGGGGGTGAGGATGCTGCTCTATTGCTTAGAGTCTGATAAACAGGTCCTCCTGGATCTGCCCACCCTGCAGAGAGTGGGGACAGTGGACTGCCCTCTTTTCCTCTGCACATTCCCTGGGCAGAAGGTCCAGGGGACAGAAGAGGTGGACAGAGAGCAGAGTGTTTACATGGGTGGGATAGGCAGAGACCAGCTCTCCCTCCAGGTCAGGGTCTCAGCAGATGGAAGTGTTCAGCCCAGGGGACAGCCACCTCTGTATGGGAGAGGTTCTTCCATCTCCTGTGTAGGGAGGTTTTGAGGAGTTTGGCAATAGTAGCCAACATCATTTGCAGGGCCCCACCAACTCTGAAGGCCAGTGGAAGAGAAAGCATCTACTCCTCAATGGAGCTGGCTGCCTCAAGTGAGGGTCCTGGCAAGAACAGGGCTGCCCTCTTTAAGCGAATCACAGCCAGGAGGGACGGGCCTCTATCTCATTACTAACCTGGTCTTATCTCTGATTGATATTTTGATTGGTGAGGTACTTGGCATCATGCTGTGCACTTGAACTCCACCCCAGAGACTGTGACCCTGTGGCAAACATTCAGTTACCCAATGGTTTATTCTACTACATGTGGGAATTAATTGCCTTTCTTGTTTTGTGAGCGATTTGGTCCTCAAGTGTATAATTTTGCTTATCTACTTGTACATGTTTAATGGTATTTCTTTCTGGTAAGTGAAGAATCACTGTGTTTGTGCGGGAGGGGGGCAAGTATGTTAAAACTATATTTATGTTTTTCTTTATTGTAAATGGGTTTCAGTGGCTCATATTTTAAAACGTAGAAGTGAGTTGGCTGAGGAATTAGTGAGTATCTCTCCTCAGGACTCTCCTTTCCCCAAGGACAGTTTTATTTCGAAAGAAAAACTGGAAAATGCAGAGCCACGAGGGGGCGCCCTGGGCTCTGGTCTGGTGGTAAAGCCTGCCCTTCGTAAAGGAGGAAAGATCTAGATGCGGGGTTCAGAGTGAAATAGGAGCATTGGCTGAGCATCTGCTGGGGACCTCACTGGGCACGCACAGGGCCTCACGCAACGCAGACACTCTCTGAAGTGGGTGCTTGTGCCCCACTGTGATGAGCTCACAGGCTCAGGCAAGTTCAGCAATCTGTCCAGGGTCACTCAGGTAACAAGTGGGAAATGAGATTCAGACCCAATTCTGTGCAGTTCTAAAGCCCAGGCCTTCCCAGACCAGCTGACTGAGGCTCCTCTAGGGAGGGCTTGATACTTGGAAGGCGCTGTTCAGCGCGGAAGCGAGGCTGGTGGGCGCCTGTGTCCTCGGGGCAGGGTCACAGGCATCTGCCCACCAGGGAGATGTTTCTAGCCGGGGTCACGGAGCCTCGGGATGTTCCTGAATGTGGGAGAAACAGTCCCTCACCCTGCCCGTCTCGGAGTCTGTGTCCAGCAAGAGCCCCTGTGGTTGGGAAGAGACTTTGCTAATGGGAATGGGGCGTCTAGGTTGCTGGTTAGGTGCCTGTCCCCAGACAGGGGTGTCTTTTATTTTAACATTATATAACATTATGTAGTACATAATGTTAAATATACTGTATAATAACAGTATACTGTTATACAGCATATATAGTTATATAACATATATAACAGAGTTATATAATATACAATATATTATATTGTGTGTATATACAATAATATATATACAATTATGAATATAATAAAATTTTTTCTATTTTTAGACTCGAGAATATCTCTCAGGGTGATTTTAGGGGAATTTGTCAGTTCTCCTGAAAATAGGATTGAGAAGATGTGGTCCGGTCCCAGGTGTAACTACTGAGGGCGTCAGGAACCAGTAAGGGGATGATGGCAGCGGCGGGCGGTTCAAAGCGGCCTCTGCCAGGGCTCCAGCTGCGGTGGGGTGCGGGCGTGTGCCGTGGGTCCTCGGGTGCGGACGCCAAGGCGAAGGGTCCCCAAAGCCTGCCGCCGTGGAGCCCGCCCCTGGGAGCTGCTGCGGTGGGGCCGGGAGGGGTCAAGCCACCCGCCGGCGGGGGAACTGCACAGTGGGGCACGGAGGGACCCCGCGGCGGAGCTGGGCCCAGGGCTATGCAGCACTTGGGCACTGAGCAAGGGGCCGGCAACAATCGCGGAGCGGTGGCCGCACTAAAGGGGCCCAGGGTTGAAAGTGGGAGGGGTGCCCACTTCCCGGACCTGGCCAGCGAGGAGGCCGCCTCGCCTACCCTTGCTGACGGCGCCAGGTTCCTGCTCCTCCTGAGCTGGAGATTCAGCGCGCTGGGCACCTGAGGTTGCGTCCCCAGGATCCACCCCACGTCTGGGTGACCGCCGAGCTAGGCGCTCCCGGCCGCCGGGTCCCGGGCCCGGGGTCCGCTCCCGAAAGCACCCCCCTGGCAGGGTCCCAAGCGGGACGAAGGGGAGCCCCAGGCCCCCTGAGCGCTGAGGCCGCAGGGGGAACTTGCGGCGATGTCACCCCTGCCCTGCATGCCAGCCCAGGTCTCGCGAAGTCCTGGAGCCCCACCTCAGGGTGCACAGCGCAGCAGGAGCGGCTACGGGAGCAGCGGTGACGGCAATGGGTCGCCTGTGCCCCATGTCCCCAAGGCAGCTGACTGTGCCATCCCTACTTTCACAAGCCGGGGCAGGACCAGCTCCCAGGCCGGGAGCCTTGGCTGCAGCCTCAATCTGGTTCCCTGCCGTGACCTGGGAGCCCAGGAACACCTGGCCAAAGGCGCAGCTGGGACTCGCGGGACTGGCCCTGGGAGCGTGGGGTTCATTTGTGTGGGGTCGGTCTGGGCCACTGTGCCACCTGCACCTAGCCTGCCTCAGCTGTGGGGAAACACAGAGAAGGGGCACTGGGGTGGGGGTAGGGGGTTGCTGCACTCTGCAGAGCCAGGGACTGGTGGGAGCCCTGCCCCTCTGGAATCTGCAGGGCAGGAGCTCCCCAGGCCAGCTGCAGCAGCCCAGGTTGTGGCTGTGGGCCCGGGCATCAGGTGCTCTCCTCTCCAGCCTGGCCTCTCCCCCTTCCTGGCACCGCTCTGATCTTGGAGCTGGGATAGGGTGAGCTTGGGGGTTGTTGCAGCTCCACAGGGTGTATGCTGGGGCAGTGCTGATGCCTTGACACCCTGCTGCCTCCATCCCCTCAGATTTTGGGTGCCAAGGAGCAGGGGAGGGAGGCTGAGATGGTCAGCTAGGCATTGGCCTGAGACCTCCCTGGCACCAGTGGCCTAGGTGCCATGGGTGGCTGCAGGAGGTAGACAGGCTCCCAGGCAGGAAGAGGCAGGTCTGGGTGAGGCCCCACTTTCAGGACAGGGAGGGCCTGAAGGCTGGCAGCTGGGCTGCCAGTCCCACTGACCAGAGTGGGGACTAGTGGTGCCTTTTCTGGGCTTCCCATGGCTCTCCATGGACCAGTTGGCATGCACTTTCTCCCTTCTGAGGCCCATAAAAGCTCAGGGCTCAGCCAGAGTAGAGGAGAGGATGGAGAGGAGAGGGCGGAGAGACAACTAGATGACCAGCTACTTTTTGCAGGGCCTCCTCTTTGCTAAGAGCTGCAGATCGGGAGGACCAACTGCAGAGCAGGAGCTACCCTCTCT